TATATATATATATATATATATGTACACATACATATTGAAAAAAAAAAAATTATATATCCTACCTTTCAATAAATATTCATTTGAATAGTATCAACTATATGTTTGTTAAACATAAAAATATATTTATTTGGTACAAAAAACATTAATTTGATTCAACAATCACTTCTTTTTATTAAGTAAATATTTATTGTAACTAAGTGTTTAGTTGGCAGTACTCAAATAAATATTTATTTAAATTTAGGCTATTCCTTTCTCAATGTGTGTGTGTGTGTGTGTGTGTGTGTGTGTGCGCGTGTGTGTGTGTGTGTGTGTGTGTACACGCACGCACGCACGCACGCACGCACGCACGCACACAGAGGATATATCTTAATTAAAATCGAAGCCGCACTGAGGGCGTAGAATGAATCAAGAACAAAAAAATTTTATACCATTTTGCAATTTTCGCAACAGTTAACAAGATATTAATTACTAAAAATGGTCGAATATTGGTCTTTAATAATTTTTTTCTTAAATACTATCAACTTTACAGAAAAATTGTAAGAGACAAAAATTGTTTATTTTTTTCCCATACAGTTCTGAGAATTTTTTCAGAATTTTTTAATACCGTACTTTCTCATGATAATAAAAATAAGAAAATGCAGTACTAAAAAGTTGATAAAATATTCTGAAAAAATTCTTAGAGTTCTATAAAAAGAAAATAAACAATTTTTGTCTCTTATAGTTTTTTTTTGTAAAATTGATAGTATTTGAGAAAAAAATTATAAAAGATCAATATTCGGTTATTTTTAGTAATTAATATCTTGTTAACTATTGCGAAAATTACAAAATGGTGTAAGACTTTTTTGTTCCCCTTGGCCCATTTTACACTTCCAATGTGGCTCCGACCTTACTTAACAAACACTCTGTATATGTTATTTATATATAATTATTTATATAAAAAATAGTTGAAAATTGTAGTGTTCGAAAGAAGCGGGACTAACAGCCGGAGTTTAATAATCGATTCCTAGAAATAAAACAAATACGCGTGCAAAGTTACGAGATGCTCATAGTGATATTACATGTGCCCAAATGTTATTCTGAAATCGAATCTGTCAACACATATACAATGAAAAATGTTAGTGATGTTCGCCTTGTATTGTGTAAAAACTTGTTGAAAATTAGTCTCAATCAATCATAAGTGGCTTCCAGGAAGAAATTATTATTCGAAAAGCGGCTATCTGTCATAGATAAGATTAAGAAATGCAGCGACATAGTTCGCGTGAAAATCTCGCCTGGAGAAGGTTTCTCTTGCAAGGTGGTTTCCAGTTTACCTTTAAAAGATTTTATGAAAACAAGAACATTTTATGAACATGTACGTGATCGATCACGTTGTCTATAGATAACCTCGAGTGACCAAACAAAAAACAGGAGGATAGAAGTTTATCAGAACATATTTCAAACGAGTCAGATTCCAAACAACTCATTATATCCGTGCTGCTCTGATGGAACCGAGGAAAAAAAGCGTATTATATTTGTGACTATCAAATGCCGCCTCGCAGCTTGAAGGGATATGTTACAGCCTGAAAACTGTTACTTAGACCCATTAATAAAAAGAAGAGGCTATTGTGAGCTAAAAAGCACAAAAGTTGAATAATTAGTCAGTAGAAGATTTTTTTCACACGAATCACAGTTTGAAATGTTTGGATCCAAAAGGTGCAAGTTCGTTCGTTTTATCTTGATGAAAAAATTTCACTGAAATTATTCCACGTTTTAGAACATTTCAGTGAATTTCAATTGCCGAAAATTTGCTAAAATTTCACTGAAAGTGAATTTTACAGGCAACATACCGAAAAATTTTGCTGAAATTGAACTAAAATTTCTCTGAAATTTTGAAAATGAATTTTTCAGCTAAAAATTGTCGAAATTAAACTAAAAATTTTCGAAAAAAAAGTGTTCCAAAATGTGGAATAATTAGAGCGAAATTTTTCCACTAGGGATAGCCTACAGTTAAACATAAAAGAGGTAGATCCATTATGGTCCGAGGATGATGTAGTTGGTGATTTAGTAAAAATCAAATCAGAGACTGCAAGATCTACCACAACATTCTGATGCATCATATCAATTCTTCTGACATTCATCCAATTCATTGACTATCACCCATCGTGATTTCATACTACAGCAGGATAATGATCCGAAATATGCTTCCAGTCTTTGTAAAAAGACTTATGTTTAGTCAAAACAACGACAATAGGTGCTACAGTAAACGATTTGGCCAAACAGAATTCTGATTGCAATCTAATTGAACTCCTTTAGGATCATCTGGACAGTGTATTCAAGATATGCAAATAATGAGCCAAAATTACTTTGAGAGTTGCTACAAGAGAACTGAGCTATAATCAAAGTTGAAACTTTAGACAAATTTGACTGATAGAATGCTCTGCGTTTGCTGCTGCAAAATTGCTGCTAAGGGTGGATGATATTTTGACGAGAAAAATTTAAGAAAATCAAGACTCCAAGATTTGTGTTCAAATAATATGTATGAGTAAAACATGTTTATTTGTCTAAATAAACCTATATGCATCACAAACTTGAGTCTTTTGTTCATTATTTTTCGAAAAATTGATGCTCTGCGTGCTGTATTAAAATTAATAAGCAGTAATGTACACGCGCGCGGGAAAAATCGTTTTATTTATAAAGAATAATCAACTTTACCCGAACCACTGTGCACGCTTTCTTCTCGATGATAACCGTACACGGTAGGCTCATTTGTAAAATTAAATGGCATGGGACTGTAACCTGTTGCCGAATGTGGTGCGTATGTTCCCGAATAAGGCATATCCCAAGCGCTTGGTGGTGGCAATGGACTAACTGTATCATTATCTAGTTTCATATTACTCATGGCTGAACACAGATCACCAAATATATAATAACATTGTTCGGAAAATGTAATTTTGTTCACTGTATGTCGAATGTAACCAGCTTTTAACATGAGCGACGCATATTTCCTGGCATCACGTCGATCAAGAAATCCTTCCACGTGCGTGTTCAGCCAGTCCACGACATCCGCGCCAATAAATGCATTTGGAATAGTAATTTTTAGCCACATTCGATCGCGTATCTCTAAGCCAGAGTCAGATCGAGCCATCGCTCGTACAATTGTTGGCATATCGGTATGAATAGTCAAGTGAAGCTCTTCCAAGGGTCCTGAAAAGAATGCAAGATAAGATCTAACTGACATAGTCAGCCAATATAATTGTTATTCGACTTCTTGAGCGATTTGATTTCATATTTTCAGAGTTGGAAGTCATCAAAGATAAAATACAGAAATCACATTCTTACAATCACAGTACATAAATAACAAAGAAGACTTTTCTCATTTAATTTGAAATTGAATTTTACTCTGAGAGAGATTCGTTAAATCTTTTGATTCGAGGATTTGTTGTAAAGACATCTCCTCTCCCCCTGCCACCTCCGCCCCCCTTTCTCTCTCGACAAAAATTTACTATTAATTAATTCGATATATCTATTGAATTTCTGACATTGCATTGTAACTTACGTTCAGTGTCTGGCAATGTACTCGCAAGACTGCTCGAAGTTGAAGTTAATGTTGTGGCACTTGGTGGACGAGGCGGAAAACCTTCGCCTCTTATAGCGGCCGTGTGCGCCACCCACGCACCAGGATCTATGGGACGTACCGGCTCTGTACGTGGTATCGTAAAATAACCTTTTGGATTTGGATCCCAACATTTTGCAACGACGAGTTTTATTGGTCTAAAAAAGAAAATAAGATATAGCAATATAATTTTACTTTATTATATAATAAATCTTATAGCGTTTTTCATTGGTAGAACTAGTGCGTCCTCAGAGCACATTAAAGCCGTTCTGTAACTAATCTAATCTGAATGTAACAATAAGACTCTCAATCTCAATTGATAAAATACCCAATGTATATTTTATCAAATAGGACAATGAAATATATTGAGAATTTCGATGTTTAACTCACTTTCGTATTTTTAATTAAACATACATACATTTACGTCGATTTGTGTACAACGGCTTTAAAAAGCACTGAGTGTGCCAATTTTGCCAATGAACAACGTTATTATATTTTATAAAGAGATATCTTACCCTGGTTTTTGCACTACCTCACGCAATACTCTTACTGCTTCGTCGTTGGACATATTTTCAAAATTAATATCATTGACTTGAAGAATCATGTCACCAGGTTCTATTCGACCATCTAAAGCAACCGCTCCCCTATTTCGGGCAAGCATTCATAGTATAATAAACGGTACAACATTATTACAACACATTGTATATAGTGTATAATTTAAATGTTTTTGATATGCAAAAAAACCTTTAAATATCCATACAAAAGTAACATAAATAAAAATCTAGAGAATCTGCTGTTCCCATGTAATTTAATATAGAGATTGCAATCTCCAATTACTATTAAGAACACTCGATTACGTTTCGCATTCAAATTTATGCAATAGTTTAAGAAAGTTTACATTCTACTGAAATTGTTAATGGGACGAAAGAACAAAAATCTTAGTGCAAAAACTGGTAAAGATACGTATACTTGCTAATGTAACTGAAGGAAAATATAAACATACACGCGCATACACATATATATGTATATGATATACTAACCCTTTCATTATTGAACCGACATATATTCCACCGTCTCCACCTTTGTTGCTTTGACCGACAATACTAATACCAAGAAAATTAACAGTATCCATATTTAGTGAAACAGTTATAATATTTAAAGACATTGTACTGTCAGTAATACTACTAAATGACGACGTTCGAGACATAGGTGGTAATCTGTGTCGCCGTTTTCTTTGCGGTCGACGTCGATCTATTACAGAAAAATTTATAAGAGATTCGTCTGTGATATCATTCTACCATAAAATTTCATTTTTTTTCCTTTGGAAAAAATATCCTCTCGAATAACATTTCTCTTACCAAGTGTACCCCTGTCGACCGTACTACTCATATTGGTATGTCGACCTGTTGTTGACGTGATACGACTACTAGCATCATCGTCGGATTCTAAAAACGTTGTCGTTTCTAAATCTGAACTTAAGATGGAAGCAGTTTCATATCCATGACCAGAGCGATGTTTCGAATGACCATTTATCCGGAGTCCTACATAATGCATTGTAAGAATTAAAAGAATTACTATACAGAGTGTCCCATCGTTGATGATAAATATCAAAGACAGATCCTTTGTGATATTTTAAGACGAAAAAGTTAATATCAAAATGTCGAGGCTACGATAGTTTTCAAATGGGAAGAGTTTAAAAATTATGAATAACGGGGCTAAATTTCGCTCGCTCGAGTATGACAAGATGGAGGTGCTTCCTTGAATTTCATGTTTTTTACAATAACAAAATTCAACATCTTCACACTGATATCCCTGAGCGCACGAAATTCTGGCTCGGTCATTCGTAATTTTTAAACACTTCCCATTTGAAAACTATCAAACATCGACATTTTCGTATTAGATTTTTCATACTAAAATATATGTCGTACTTTAAAATATTTATCATCAGTGACGGGGCACCCTGTATATCTCTTGTGACATATATGTTTTATATGTACGTAACGTGAAATATAAATTTTCAGTATTGGCAGTGAATATTGGAATGTAGTCTTACGACTATTTATTGCTGACATATTAATATTTAAAAACAAAAGTTTAATAAAAATTTTTAATAAAATTTGCGTTTGTTTAAATTACTAGCGATTATGTGGAAAAATAGTTCTAATTTCCTAACGACATATATTTAAAAAAAATTAATATAAAGAATTATTGAAGATTTATTAAATATAAGTATAAATTCACCTCTATTAATTTGGACTACTCCCTCTACCTCTCATCGTAAATCGAGTTGAGACACGATAAAAAATTTAGTGCTATTTTGTTGCTCCAACCGTAGCAAGAAAAAAAAAGGGGGAGTCCACCCCCCCACACACACGCGCGCGCGCGCGCGCGCGCGCATACAGGCTAATGGCAAGCTAGACCCCCACAATAAAAAAATATATATACATATATAGATGCGATATCAAAAAACCAGTCTTCTTGTTTTTTTGTTGTTCCAAGATAATGTAAGATATATATATATTAAAAAAAATTATTGTTAAATAAATATCTACGAGGTATATTCGGAAAGTAAGGTTACAACATTTTACAAAAATCTAAAAATAAATATTTATTAATAAAACTTATATGACACGTTACATAAGCACTATTTTTCCACGTAATTTAGTTCCACGCATTTGATGAGTCGGAATATCAACTTTTGTATTTCTGTATCACACGTTTCTGCCGCCAACTCCCTTGACCACGCATATCCTTTACTTCTTCAACAGTAGAAAATATTTCCCTCCCATGTGTTCTTTCAACAGGATAAAAAGAAAAAAATCACTTGGCTAAAACTGTTAAAATCAATCGTTTTACACGCAGTATGGGGCCGAACATTGTTATGCAACAGACACCTGCCTTTTGTCAGCCGCCCTCTCCTCTTGTTTTGGATGGCCCGTCGAAACTTTTTGAGGGTCTCGCAGTCGACATTAATGAATTCACTTGGAGTCAAAAAATTGGAGGCAAAACGATTGATCTTCTCAACAGTTTTGATTGAGATATTCTGAACCATTCTGCCCATAGTTCCAATCTAACACCAAGTAACTTTTTTTCTTTTCACCATGTTGAAAGGATACACATAGGCGGGAAACGTTTTCCCTCTGACAGAGAGATGAAGAATGCCGTGTGTAAATGGTCAAGGAAGGTGGCGGCAGAAACGTGTGACACAGGAATACAAAAGTTGACCACGACTCACCAAATGCTTGGAACTGAATGGCGGTTACGTGGAAAAATAGTGCTTTACTTGTATAATATGTCATCATAAGTTTTATTAATAAATATTCATTTTTCGATTTTTGTAAAATGTTGTAATCTTACTTTCCGAATATGCCTCGTATAAATAATCAGAACTGCACCGCGTTGCAGTGTCATGACTATAAATTATACATACAGAATTTGTTGCTTGCATGAATTTGATACCAAAATGTTCCTCATAACATATACGATCGAAGTATATTCTATATTCTGGATATTGATATATTTCGATAGTATATGTTACGAAGAACATTTTTATATCAAATATATGCAAGCAAATAATTCTGTAGATGTGACTTTCAGTAACGGCGCGTCTACGCGCGAAAGCGCAGTGCTGACAAGTATGTATTGGCATTTGTTTAGCAATATCATATTTTCAATATGTTTTCGCACTATGTTGGAGCAATGAAAAACCAACAAAATCTGGTATTTCATTTTTTTTTATTATCGCACCTTTATACATTTTTTCTATCAGATTATTAGAACGATTCAGCTTGCCATTAACATAAACTCATCCATTTTATTTCTTTCTTATTAAATGGTTTGAGCAATAAAATTCGGCCTACGGCAACAAATTAACAACAAAATAGTACTAAATTTTTGACTAGGTCTGAATTTTATTTGCACTGGTGGAGGGAAAAGGGAAGTCCAGGTTAAGTTAATACGGATTATAAGTTTAATATAAAGAAAAGCTTGTATAGAGACTAGCTTAGAATTTTAAGTTTTAATATTGATTTCTCACAATTAATATTGATTATTAACTAACAATAAGTAATTTTTTTAAATCTTGAATATCTCTTATTTTAATTACATTACAAAAAAGTAACAAATCATCGTTTTGTAAGTAACAGTAATGACAATGCATTATCTTTTACGAAAAGTAACAGTAACGAGTTTTTTTTATAAAGTAACATTCCAATCCTGTATTCAATAAACATTCATTAACATGCAATTAATAAATAACACTGCTTACCATTATATTTATTGTATTTTTCATACTTTTCTGAATGATGTCTCGAACTTTTATGTAAGTGATGTCCTTGTCGACTACTTATAATGCTTTCTGTTTCCGTCAATGTGTCATCGTGTGAAAGTGGAGCGTTTCCTCTATTACCATGTCCAGGTATTGCATGATCAATACGGTCATGTTTTGCTTCGCTATGTGCCATAGAGTCTGTACATTGAGACGCGCCATCCGAAACGTTGCTACCTTCGGCGGAGACCAACTGTCACAAAGTATCGTTTCATTAAATATGTGAAATTTTTTTTCGGAAAGAAATAAAAATTATCAAGTTCATATATATACTAAAAAAATATTATATTATGCAACTACTTTTGACTTGTAAAAAGGAAACACTGATATAACATGACACTTTTTATTTTTAGCCGTAATTAACAATAACAATTAAAATAATATATATTAAGAAAAATATTTTTAATCTTACCCATGAAACAACTCGACCATTGAAACAAGGTAGATGAGCATCGTCATCTACTATTTCTTCTTTTACCACCCTAGTAAAAAAGAAAATATACTTAGGATAAGTTAAATGTTAAAACTAACAATAGTACTTCAACTCAACACAATTACAGACTTAACAAATGTATTACATATAACAGTTTTTAATAATTTTCATTTTTATGTATTTCAATTTACATATCTTCTGTATTAGCTACAAATATATATCATAGTTTTGATATTCATTAACATTGGAAAAATCTGTTACATGTATCTTTACTATGAGACAAAGTTTGTTTGTTAAATTTCAAACCAATTTGAAAACTATCACACAAATGAGAATTACATAAAACAATAAAAACCATAACACACTTTCAAAAAAAGAAAAATTGTAAAGTTTGCTTACAGTTAAATAAAAATTTTGTTTACAGTATTGCCAAATTGATGAATAAAAGGAATAATTACACACACACACACACACGCGCGCGCGCGCGCGCACACACACACACACACACACACACACGCACGCACGCACGCACACATCTAGAGCGTGCGCGCGTATCCACATATACCACTCGCGAGTGCGCTCATGTAAAAGCACAAGTTAGAAAAGAACAAGTGAATTATTGGAGTAATATTAATAAATAATATATAATAAAGTATAATCTAATGTTACGTATAACAATATAGTATATAATAAATAATAAGGAAGTAAAAACGAAAGAGAAGATTCGATAACTTAACATCAATGCATCTTGTTGACATTTACCCGAAGTCATCGTCCATTGACTTGAAGAAATATTTATAATTCGGTCGATTTAAAACGTTCTTAAAATCGGCAAGGGTAACTCTTTCCGGTGATATGTTGAGCTTCACCAGATACGGCGTCTCCTCGTCGTCCATGTGATAAATAATCTTTGTCTCTTCCATCGTCGGAATAAGCTTGATAAACAAAATTTATTCGCGATGTAAAAATGATACGCAACTATGGTTCTACTGACTTGGACGATATTTTCTCAAACCAATATGGCGCGTTATGCATCGAGCCAAAGCCCTAGTGCACAAAAAGATTGCATATTCACAACTTGGTGGGATGCTCGCGGATCTCGTCGATGAGGACGTAGTCACGCGGCGTCACACCATTCACGAGAAGGTCACTGACATTATTCGTCGAACCTACACAAAATATAAATCCGTACGAATCGCCGTGACAAATTAAACGTCAACATTGCCGTCAGCGTTGCGCGTTCGGTCCGTATATACATTTCAATCATATACTTTATAGTAGAGAGAAACCTAAGAGAGGACACGAGAGCCTTTTTTCTATAACTGCAAATGATCCACGCACTACTGCCCTCTATAAAGGTAAATTTTCATGAGCTGCTCAAACTGACTGTTTCAGGCTGTAGTCAAAAACTCACTACAAATGTTTTGAAGCATTTGATGAACCAATTAGAAGAAAGAATTTTACAAACCAATTAAAAAACACTTTAAGTTATATTTACGTTTATAGCATCGCGTTGATCGTACCCTAAGTGACAAAAAGGATCACGTGGTCAAAATTGATGAATATCAACATTCATTTTGATCACGTGATCCTTTTTGTTATTGAAACAGCCGGTTAGAGCAGCTCCTGAAAATTTACCTTAAAAGTGGATGTAAATTACAACAATATCCATTTTTTGCGGTGCTCCTGCTAGAGATAAATCGCTGAAATTATTTAAATCTCTATTTATTTGATAGATTAAAGTTATTTTAGTGATTTCAATCAATTTATTTCCATCAGGAGCAAAAAAAAAATGAATATTGTGTTGCACTGACGAGATACTATTAAAGACTGTCAAAATTTCGACGGTATAAAAAGGGCCCCAAGGGCCCGGAAATAATTAAAGAACGCTAACGACATTATCGACAATTGATATAAATTTGCTATTATTAATATAAGTATTTGGTTCATACATTATTTAAATTCATGATTTTTTATTACATAAATGTTCCATAAATAAATATGTATACTTGTAAAGCTATTAGGTTGTTCGGAAAGTAATTTCGTTTTTTCTTATGAAAATGAAAGACGATTTTCAATCAGACGCGTTTCAAATGATCATGAACGGTCGAATTCGATAAATTTAATCTCTCAGCGATCTCACGAGTTGTTATTCGCCGGTTTGCATCATTTAATGCCTTTATTGTGTCTTCATCAGCTTCAACTGGCCTTCCAGAACGTGGTGCATCTTCAACATCAAAATTGCCGGATCGAAATTTTGCAAACCAGTTTTGGCACTGGCGTTCTGTCAATACGTCTTCTCCATACACATCGGATAATTTTTTTCTTGCTTGAACAGCATTTTTACCTTTTCGATAGTAAAAAAGTAAAATATGTCGAAAATGCTGCTTTTCATATTTGATAGGGCACCAACCAAAAACTACTGCGTAGAATCAATCGAACTTTTTTCACAAGCAAGCCTTGCTATATCAGCTATCAAAATATATAATGATTATGCGGCTCAAGTGTGAAGTTGGCTGTGAAAAAATACAATAAGTCTTCTGTTGGGAACAAACGAAATTACTTTCCGAACAACCTAATATAATATTCTATATATTGCAGAAAAATTGCAATTTTTTTCTTTGCAGTTATTATCTCTGTTGATAATCAAACTTTGATGATAACACTGAAATTACAATTTAAAGAAAAATCGAATATTATTGAGTTTTAAATGCATAAATACATCCACTAAATTAATAAATCATAAAATTAGTACAATATTTTCAGTTTTTAACTCTTAATTACTTCAATATTCACATGGACGCCAACTCCCGTAAGATGTCGGTCTTTAATAGTATCTCGTCAGTGTATGTTGTTTACTGTTCCACTTTTGCAAAAAGGTCTGAGAGGTTCTTTTTGTCTTAGGCCTATAAGTTTATCTTTCTTTTGTTTCTCTCCAAGAGGAAAAAAGAGGAAGAAAGATGACCTGCTGCAAAAGTTCAGCTAAAAAGAACAAGGTATCAATCATGAAACTTTATCCCTAGGATGAAAAGTGAACAGTAAAAATTTTTACCATTGAAATTAATGGAGAAATTTTTCACTTTTCACTTACCATCCTAGGGATAAAGTTTCATGATTGATGCTCTGACCTATAGCCAATCAAGGCCGTTATTTCATTTGTACGTGTGCATCTTACGACAAATTTTTCAAGCCTATTGATTGGCTACAAGTAAAAAGATCCGAGAACTTTTCTGTCCTGTACATACATATATACATGAAATATCATCCCAATAAACTTGAAAAATTTGTTGTATGATAAAATCGGACGCATGTAATATTGACTTAATATAGGCCTTAGGGTAATATTTCATTTGTGCATTTTTGTCGTACGACAAATATGTACGTAAATACAGAACAGAGAGATCCTCGGATCTCTCTATCCCACAGTCAATCAAATAGGCTTGAAAAATTGGTCGTACAATAGAAACGCACAAATGAAATATCACCCTTATGCTCGTGTCACATTACGTATTGGAGATTGAAAATTGCGAATTAAGAATTAGAATTCGACCAATCAGGCAGTTTTAATTTTAATTTATTTCTCTCAAATTAATTGAATTCTAATCCTCAACTCGCAATTTTCAGGGTGCCTACCCATGCGAAATACAAGAGCAGAACCAATCACAAACATCCCACATTAATTGCAATTGGTGCGGAACGCTTATGATTGGTTCCACTGTCGTTCCGCGTTAAGGTAAATTTTTACGAGTTACTCAAATCGGTTGTTTCAGCGATAAAAAGGGTTACATGGTCAAAATTGACGAATATCAAGGTTCATTTTGATCACGTGATTCTTTTTGTCGCTGAAACAGCCGATTAGAGCAGCTCGTGAAAATTTACCTTTACGCTATTCCATTGCATAGCTAGGCATCCTCAGAGTGCCATTACAAGCATGGAAATGCGGAAAAACGGAAGACAAAATTAATTAAGCTTTACTAGATTTCCACGTTTTCGCGCATTCTATTCCGTCTGTTTTGATCTCCTAATATTACATAGAGTACAGTTTCCACAGAAAAGAGAAACGAGTGACAAATACATTTTTGTATTTATTAAAAAAAATTCTATTTATTTAATTCATTGCAATTTTTATCAATATGCTTATCTTTTCAGCTTATGTATTAAATACAAGTATTTTAATCAATAAATACCGTTAAAAAATTAATATTTTCTAATTCCCCATTCTGCTTTTCCGCTCAAACTCTATTGCATGTAATATTAGGAAATCAAAACAGAAGGAACAGCACTCGCGGAAACGCGGAAATATAGTAAAGTTTAATTAATTTTGTCTTCCGCGTTTCCGCATTTCGGCACTTCACGTAATGGCACCTCAGTCTCCAATGCGTAGTGTGACACAGGTATTAGGGTGCTGTCCCATGATAGTCGGGTTTCCGGAAAACGGAATGTCGAAAAAGTAATAAAGTAGGAATCAACCAATCAAAATTATTGAGATACATTACTGTTGATCTGTATGTACAATACATATACGTTAAATACAAGATTATCGAAATTAAAATTCTATATGTATAAAAAAAAAGTCATTAATAAATAATTGTGTGATAAGTAACAATAAACAAAAATAAGTGGCTCAAAATTCAAAACAATATTGGAATATAAAGATATGGTATCCGTTTATTATGTCTTTATTCCGTACACTACTGTCAGTACATCTTTTCAATTTGAGAACTACATGACTATATGTACTTTCCGACACTATTGATAAAATTGTATCGTCTAAAGTAAATGTGATTTGTCTCTATAATAAATCCTTAAGACAGAAGAGTGCCGACCATAAGAGGGATAGTTTAATGGGTCTTCAAACGAAAAAATTTTAATTTTGCATCTACTCCTACATATATAAATAAAAGCTGAATTTTAATAAATAATATTGAAAATTCAAACAAATTAATTTAGTGAATTTTATCTTGTAACATCTTATAAAATTACAATGTCTTTTTATAAAAATTTTTAGTCCGTTTTATCAAACATAATTACTAGTAAATATAAGACAAGTAAAAACTAGAATAAGACGTGAATAGCAGAATGATTCTCTAAAGTAAAAGTTATTTAGTATTCATAATTTTTTAAATAATAATACTTTTAACTTATTTCTTATTTAATATTTAAATAAGTTTCTCGAATCTATTTTATGTTTTTTATTTTAAATAAGTTGTATCAGTTTTTTTTACCGATTCCTACGATTTTATATTTTAAATAAGTTACCGAAACTTATTTAATACATTTTATTTTAAATAAGTCGTAACAGTTATTTTACCGAGCCATGATCGGCATTATAAGTTTAAAGAAAACATAGAATAATTTGCAGCAACAGTAGTGTTATAAATTAATTTTTAGCTGAGAAATTAAATAATGATATTGAATGAACAAGATATTGAATACTTTTAACTAAAGCTGTATTGAGCGCAAATTGTTTCGCAATATTAAGAAATTTGCATATATTATATTTTTAAAGGAAGTATAGAATATTATCAACCTATTACCTTTGTTTAAGTATGAATCATTTAAAATATTCTAAAAGTAAAATAAAAAAATTGAGACATAACGTACTGTATATTATTATAAAAAAAACCTCACACACGCAAATAATTATCAATAACATTTATAAAAAAACGGCACAAATAATATAGGATTAAACCAGTGCCAGTAAAATTGTAGAAACGCGCTACTACACTTTATTTATCAAGAAACATCCCCAGAGGGACATTTCTCCTCTGGGGTAATACAAAAAATAATTGGTTAGGCCGCGCGTCAAACTTAAATATATTATTGCGGAAGACAAAGGTCCCCCCCATCGCATGGGCGTTACAACTAAAGGCTGGGGAGCAAGCCACTAGGTATATAATCACAGTTGTACGACGGCTCCTCCGGGATATCACAGATAAATTGTCAAGGTATAAAAGATCCGGAGGAGCACGCTCGGCTACACTTTGATCTTAGCTTAGAAAGCCGAGAAGAGATTAGGACTTTTAGGTAGAGTCAGGTCAGGTTAGATCGATCAGATTAAGTCAGGTTAGGTCAGATTAAGTAGGGTTAGGTCAGGTCAGGTCGAGTCAGGTTCCCCCTCGTCCCCCTCGTCGTGGGCCACCTTGTCGTGGTGAGGGGGCTTGCGGGGCACCCTAGGGTGCCCTTACCAAGAGCCCACAGTACCCCAGTCATGGGGTACGGGATGGAGACGGGTCG